GGTGGTGGATGTGGTTTATGTCCATTTAGGTCCTTTTAAAGCCCATGAGATCATGGTGGTGGTTTTAGGAAGAAACCTCAGGCCTGCCACTGACTTGGTAATTGTTTCTCAGGAAATGATAGTTTTCCTAATTGTTGGCCTTTTTTTTTTTTAAGAAAATGCACATTTTAATTCCTAGATGTTACTGACCAAATGAGTCGATTTTACAAAACCTCAATGCTAGAGTCAGTTATTTATACTAGTAAAATATGATACAGAAGCCAAGTGCTAAAAGAATGTCTCAGTTTAATTTCTGGGAAATGCAGGGTTTTTTTCCCCCTTCATGTATTTCCTCCCCGCCCCAAGAGTGTCACAAAAACATTGCTAAATGGCCCAAATCCTCTGGGTTTTACTATCTGATACCTGCTGTGATACAAAGCCCCTTTCTTGACTGAGTCTTTGTGAGGTGGATTTATTTTATACTGTACAAAATTATATCTGCGGCAAGAAATTGGAAACCAGCATTTCCATTCAGTTGGTTAGATTATGATAGAGCCATAAAAACAAATGATGTTAAAGTAATAGACAAGAACTTAAAGATTAAGGAACATAAATCAAATTATAAAATACTATGATCAGTGTGATCACAATTTTATTTAAAAGATGTATGTGTATGTTTTATATGTATGTGTATATTTATATGCATGTGTATCTGTGGATGTATTCAGATACATAAGGTAAAAACAGCTGGAAAGATACATACGTTTACAGTGACTGGAGGCTAGAATTACAGTGGTTTCCCCCTCTCCCCTTCCTTTTTGCTTGTATGTTTTCTGAATCTTTCCCAAAGAGTATGATTTACTTTCAGCAATAAAATGTTCCTTCAATCAATCTTGTTTTTAAGGGAAAAACCCCAATGGTAGCAGTGTATTCCCAACCAGTAGAACCCCCAATGGTAGCAATGTATTTCCAACCAGTAGAACTGGTTGTTCCTGAAGCCATATTATTCTCAGTGGGGAAGAGAAGTTAATTATTGTTCTGCTGAACCTGGCTGAGTTCACATTCCTCATCTCATTCTCCCCCTCTCTGTCCAATGACATTGCATTAGAGGGATATAATGTGTTCTTTTCCCATGAAAATGTTGGCGATTTTGATGAAATATAGGGAAGTCCTCGTTAAGCTGCCATCACATGCAAAACCTATCCAGAGCAGAAAAGCATATTGCTTAGCCAAAGATTGCTTCTGTGCCTTGAAATGGCTGAAGCATTTTATTTGGTTATCAGTGCAAAGGGGTGGGGAGGGAGATTAGTAGAGGAAATTAGTTATTCCTAATTCTGCTACTGTAATAGCTTTTTGTGTATCCATCTCTGCTGTGTACACCTTTTTTATATGATTGATCATGTTGTGGAGTTTCCTATTTCATAATTAGTTGAAATTGTCTTCATACCTTGAAATTTGCTTGTAAAAGTGTAGAAGAGTTTTTGTATCCATTTGACCAGAGAATCATCATGGGAAGTCTCTGTCAGTTTTGCCTCTTCCAACTCTTCAGTAGAAGAGAAAGTTTTGTGTCCTCTCTATTGTTGGCTTCTAATAATTAGTGCTGATTTTGTTTTTCAATTAAAAGATGGGAACCAACAAATGTGCCAGCCAGGCAGGAATGACAGCCTACGGGACTAGGAGGCATCTTTATGATCCCAAAATGCAAACTGACAAGCCTTTTGACCAGACCACGATTAGTCTGCAGATGGGCACCAACAAAGGAGCCAGCCAGGTAAGCAGGGCTGCCCCTACGTGTGCAGAGTACAAAGTGCTCTGTTCAGTGAGTGCTTGCCGCCTTTTTAATAAGTTCAGAGTAGGTTTTTTTTTTTTTAAGATTTATTTATTTATATATACAAGAAGTGGGGTATGGGCAGGAGGTGTAGGGGGGTGAATGGATTCACCAGAGACAGTGGGGAAGAGAACAGGAAGATTGACTGAAATACACTGCTGAGGGGAATAGCGGGCGAGTCAGGAGAGGTCTGCTGTGCCATGTGGGTCAGCTACCTGGCTGGGGATCAAACTCAGACCATGAAGGTGATAGTGCTGAGACTAACCCCTGAGCCACCTGGGAGGGCCCCAGAGTAAGTATTTTTGGTATGGTATTCAGAGTGTATTTTTTCAGGAAATTAGATTTTGCTGCGACACCGAAAGAATCCAAGGCCCCTTTCTGTAGCAACACATTATGTGTAGTGTGGCCTGTGGCTTTTGTTGACAGGACAGCTGGCTTGCCCACCTGCCTGAAAGAGAAAAGGGAATATTTACAGTGTCCTTGCAGCAAATCCAGGAAATTGCTCATTCTGATGCTTCTGAATTTTTTTTTTTTTTTTTTTTTAAAGGGGCCTTTAATTAACTGAGTAGGTAAAATTATCTGGTGTTCTAACAAGTGTTTAGTGTTCTATCACCTGCATGAACGCTGTGGCTTAAATGCAGCTTGGTGAGAATACGGGTGTCACCACCATACCCTGGGTGGAAGTATCTCCCTGTTAAAAATAGATCGCTAGCATCTCATAAAAGTTCCCATCATTATTGGAGAGCAGACAGGTCTCATGTCCAATAAACGTGGGGAATGGTTTGAAAAGGCTTTTTCATAATGATGCCAAGATGAGATTTGTTGTTGGCCTTTAAGGAATGTGGCATCACATCTATAGCTGCCACTCAAATTTTTTCACCACATTTAAATATGGGAGCATGTGCTTGGCATCAGTGGAGGGAGGAGATGGGAGTTATGGTGCCCTGAAGTGACTGTTTGGTATCTGGGAGCTTTTTGAAAGACTCAAGTCTTTAAGGACTGCCCAGTAGATTTTGCTGACTGCATTAGAAACTTCTGAAACTGGTGGCCTGGAATCGAGTGTTTCGTCACACCTGTGACCTCCAGGTGTGCTAGTGTTATGCGTCATTTTACATTATTTGTCTAATTCTCTCATAAATCCATAGTAAATGGCATTATCTCAATTTTGCAGGCAAGAAACCTAAAACTAAAAGCAAATTAACTTGTTGGAGACCACTTTGCAATTTTACAGCAGAGCAAGGTTTTGAAGGAAGGGCTGACCTAGCCTGAAAGCCAGTGAATATTTGCTTCCTAAGGGAGATTTGGCATCAGGCTATTTTGGTTAGTTAGCTTTACCTCTGGATGGAATGGAAGTTGCTAGTGTTTCCACATTCAGTGTGAATTTCATAATGTATAAAATTGTCACAAGAATGGGTTTTAGCTGCTATTTTAATGTTTAATATTATGTTTTCTACCAGGCGGGGATGTTAGCACCTGGCACCCGGAGAGACATCTATGATCAGAAGCTCACGCTACAGCCCGTGGACAACTCAACGATCTCCCTACAGATGGGCACCAACAAAGTGGCTTCCCAGAAAGGGATGAGTGTGTATGGGCTCGGGCGCCAGGTCTACGATCCCAAATACTGTGCTGCTCCCACAGAACCCGTCATTCACAACGGGAGCCAAGGAACAGGAACAAATGGGTCAGAAATCAGTGATAGTGATTATCAGGCAGAATACCCAGACGAGTACCAAGATGACTACCCCAGAGATTACCCGTATGGCGACCAAGGCATTGATTACTAGTCACAGCGGAGCTCAGTATTTAGCCCATTGTTTTTATTCAGTGAAAACCAAGCTAGCCTTGAGTAATTTTTATCTTGTCTTCCTAAAACACTATTATGCTTATTGTACCTAAAAGAAATATTGCCTTACATACATTCCTTTTTCCTTTTTCTGCCTCTTTCCTAAATAGTTGCCTTTTAGTGCTGTAACAGTTAAATCCTACAGCATAACCAGTAACTCGCATATGAAGTAAAAAGGAATACTGTGAAAGGGGAACACTCTTGTACAGCCAATTCTTTCATTAAAGATCTATGCATTTTTACACTCTTCTACTTAAACTGGTATTTTCAAGCAATAGGAACCTATTTTTTTTTTTTACAGTTTAGTATCTGGTTTCTACATGGAAGACTAAACTCATGCTTAGAGCTAAATACGGTCTTTGCCAACTAAATTGAAGATGCAGCATTTTAGAAATTTACATATCAATGTTTCCACAGTATTGTTTGCTAATTTTTAAATAAAGTCATGATCAGCGTGCATTTGTGATTACCTGTGTACTCATTCTCTTACCGAACTGACAAGGTCTTTCAGAGTGCTGTTTCCAAGGAGCGTGTACTAAATCAGCCTGCGGACATGTAGGCCTGGGTGGTGCGTTTGCTCTTCCTATTTGTGCCAATGTATCAATGTAGAGTCGCTCTGTTTTCTTCGACTGTATTTATTGCTGCATTTCTCAGCATAAACCTATCCCATTGTATTTTTTATAAATAAATATTTTTTTTGAACATTCGTATGAGCCACAGGCTGATTATTTTCTGGCTAGATAAGTAGAGTCAGATTTTTTTTTATGTATACTTTCCTGGATACTATTATGAAATATTTTAAGATTTATTTTATCCACACAATGCATGCTGTGCTGGAGACCAAGGCTTAGGAAAATGAGGGGACCTGCCCATTGCAGGAAGTCAGGAGTCCTACAGTGACTCAGCTGCCCCAAATTCATCTTAAATCCAATTTGGAATAATTTTAAAATCACCTGCAGGAACACTGGTGGGGATGGGGTGAGTAAATATCAACAAGGAACACACTGGATCAGGAATAGGATGTGTTGTTCCTTAATAAACGAGGGTACATAGGTATGAAGTGTTGGTAAAGTTACCTTCAGTCAGGACAGGGATGGTAAACAGCTAAATTGTAATGGCAGAAATCCAAACACCAAAGGCAAATTACTTGTACTTTTGACATTTTCTCAGCCAGGTGGCTGAGAAACAGGTGGTTTCTCCTGATAGGATGAATGCTAGAGCTGGTGAAACCTGCTTGCGTTTTCCTGAGGCAGAGGCTGAGCATGTCCGCAGGATTCAATGCATCCACAAAAGTGCAGCTGACTCTTCATCAGGCCACAATCACTGAATCGAACTGTCTAAATCCCCTTGTAGTGCCAGCAAGGCACAGAGAGAGAGCAGATTCTCTGTGATCCAGGCAGACAGGTTAAGGAGAGTCCTGGAACCCTCGGTGGCTTTTTCAGGCTTTTATTGAGATTTTCACATCATTTGTAGTGCAGAAACCAGGTGCACGACAGGCAGGGGGTCGGGGGCCTAGGAACCTGCCTGCCAATGAGCCCCCCAGCAAATCTTCACTCATTCTGTGCTCTCTGCACTGTCCCATGGCATCTTCCTTGCTGCTGCTGGCATCCCCGTGACGCCACCTTTATATGCCCAGCCTCTCAGCCCAGGTGCGCCCACTTATGATGCCCATGCCTTACTCCAGGTGTCTGCCAACAGGTACACATGTAAGCCCACAAGTGTGGATCTTAGACACCAATGGCGGGAGGGTGAAAAATCCTGACAATTTCTACTTACCCTACACCCTTACATAAAGAAGATTGTCAGCTGAACTAATTCAATGGTGCAGTTTAAGAAAAGAGTCACAGGGGGGTTGCAATTGTATGGGGAATATAAAAATAAAATTTATTATTTAAAAAAAAAAAAAGAAAAGAGTCACAATTTATATTTGTTAAGGAAACCTAAGTTGACATGTTGCTTCTCGCTATCTTTGAAGAGGGATCTATTGCACTACTTGCACAGGCAAATTAAACCAGATCCACACTTCTGTTAGGTGAGTAGGTGATTTGGTTTACCCACTCATCTAACTGAAGAGACTGCCAATCAACATGTTAAATGTCCCAATATTTTTAAAATTCTAAGAAGTTTTAAACTTTTTAAATCTCTGGGGATGGTGGAAAAACACTTCTCCAGAATTGTTTGTGAATTTGTAAGAGGTGGACCTGTACTTTTAACAAATTGAACTCCTATCTGGTTAAACTCTGTTTTATACGATGCCTATCAGTGTCATTCTGGTTAAACTTTTGGTTTTTATTGTCACTAAGAATTGTATTTTGACATGTTATGCATAATTCCATGACTGGATGAGCAGGGAAAAGTCCTCTGTATTAACATTCCAGAGATTTCTGCTGAGAAATGTTGATTTATTGGCTGTGAGTAGGAGTGTGCTTTTCATTGGTGCCCTGAAATGATTTTTCACATAGAGTGCTTTTTAATTAATGCATATAAACATGACCTCAAAAGGTTTTCTATCCTAGTTGGTAGAAAAAGGTTGTAGACTTAAATCGTTCTAATTTGTAACATGATCAGACAGTAATGACAAATAATGAAGAATAGGGTCCTTTGGGCCTTATTTATTCTGTGAATGACTCTTGAAAGATGCTGTTTCCAGGCACAAATGTCTGATATATTCCTAACTCATAATCGGCCGGAGTTCTGTGCCCTCTTCCTTTGATGGGTTCTTGTCTTTCTGTGCCCCTACACCATTTAATTTGTGGATCCTTTTTATGAAACTCTAAAAAACAAAAGAATGAGTTAGACCAGTTTTCTTATATCTGCGCTGTTGGCAACCATTTACTTGACCATATCATTTCAGGGAATCTAATCCTTAAAAAACCTTTCCCTGTTGAATTAAAACATCTTGGTGGGATAAAGTGTGGGGAGGGGGTGTAGATCTCAAACTGGGTTTTTAATCAGAGAAGTGTCCATCAGATTGGAGACTTTGGTTAGCTTTCTACCCACCATCAGAAATATTTTCTTTAGGGTACATACAAATAAAATGCCATTTTGTTTTATATGGAGAAGGGTGAGGAAACATTTAATTATAAAGCTGTAGAAGTGCTTGTTAAACTTCAGTGCCCTACTGAAGAGTGCTTTGAATGCTCTGTTTAAAAGCATAATGGCTAGGTTTTATGGCAACAGAATGAAAGAAAATTATTAAGACGTCAGTTGACCCAGACAAGAGCAAGAGATGAGACTTCATTCAGCTGTTACCATATCCCTGTCTGCCTGGATAAGGCAAATAAGCAACAACTGTGGCAAAAGCTGTTGGAAACAGCTGCCTGCTATTTCCAGATAAAAGCAGTAGGGGGGGGTCACAAGGGTGTGGCTCTTGTCACGTTGGTGTGTGCTGGCTAACAAAGGGCCTGGGGTCGAAGATCTATCAGTGCTGGCACAAGAAGTGTTTAGTCTAGACTGGAGCACATGCTCCCTACAATCTGACAGATGTGACCTGATGCTTGGGGATGTGAAAATGCTTTTGAGAAAGATCAACTGTTAAGCCTGCAGCCCTCCTAGAGGCCAACCAAGTCATCAGCACCAAAGGGATTTGACTGCTTCTGTGTCCAGAACATTTTGATCCATGTGCTCAGTGCTCATTGCTCAGCTTCACTTTTCCCCAGGGAGGTTTCCACAAGGGATATGGGTTCAGCCCAGGAAAGTGGAGCCCAGATGTCCTGAGGACATTCAAGCTATGGATGGAGAATCATGGGCCCTTGGGAGAGAAAATGAGTCTGGGTATGTGCCTCCTTTATGTGCAAGCCTTCAACATTCGCAATTGTGAGGATGGAGATTTCAACAGGGAATGAAATGTCTGCTTACCAAAAACTCTTGGTCCATAAAGTAGGGCTTTTCCGATGATCCATCATTTGTTTCCAAGTCAACAGCAAAACATAAAAAAAGTGCGTCCAGCACAGTTTCAAACACAGATAAAAAGCTATGGGCTACTAAGTAGGCAAAAAAAGCAACCAAGAGTAGTGGGATCGCCCACACCTGGAGCACACGGTTGTAGTTGAAGGCCATCAGCCCTCCGAAAACAGTGAAGCACACCACCAGCACCTGGCAAGACCGGATATGGTTGAAAAGCTTTATAAATTGGTTGGTTAGAATATCTTTTTTTTTTTTTTTAAAGATTTACTCATGCATACAAGAACTAGGGTACAGGCCAGCGGGGGGTGGATGAGAGGATTCACCAGAGACAGAGTGGGGAACAGAACAGGTGGATCTACTGAAATACATTGCTGAGGGGAGCAGCCGGTGAGGCAGGAGAGGTCTGCTGCACCATGTGGGTAGCTCCCTGGCCTGGGATCAAACTCGTGCTACAGTGGCTAAGGATAGCTTCAGAGTTCTGAGACTTAACCCCTTGTGCCACCAAGGAGGCCCTTGGTTAGATATCTTCGAAAAGTCTTTAGTCAAAGGTGCCACATTACAAGTAATAGTTTCATCTACATGCCTGAAGAAGAAAAAAATGAGAAGCTAGAGTAACAAGAGAAAACCCAGTTAAATTGGAGAGATGAGAATAAGTACTTCCAATTTCTGTGTCTAGATTTTGCCTTTGTGTAGATGGAACAACAGCCTCACCAAGGTGTTCGTGTGTTTTTCACTTAGTACTACAAAAAGGATCATTTGAAAAATAACATGTCACTTTTTAACAATATTGCAGCAATCTGTTGAGTGGACGTACACTAGTTTAATGTGTGACTTTTTGTTTGTTTACCCTGGGGTTTAATCAGATGGGCTTCCCAGTGCTGGGGTGGGGAGACAAAAAGATGAGTCAATTCTTTACTAGGAAACTAATATTTCCAGGATCCTGATGACCAACCATGATGACATAATTCTGTATCAGACAAAAGAGACCCACTGGAGTCCTCATTGCCCTTGGGCATCCACAAAGGTGGACGTGAATGTCTGCATGCTACTTCATTCAAAAAACGGAGTCATTGCTTATCACATGATTAGAAAGAAGCTCATCAGCAATTATGTGTTCCTTCTAAGAAACACAGGGTCTCCCTTACAGAATTGAGGATTAAATGAGAGAATGAGACACAGCATCTACTACAGAGTAAGCACTCCAGAAATATTAGTTCTCTTTCCAAACCTTGTTTCAGGCTTAACTTTGGAATCCCAAGTTCCTTTATTATTTTGTGAAGACATCTCACCTTTCCTAGAAAAATTATGAAGTCTCCAAAGCAATTAACAGATGTCAAATGACTTGAATTCTTGGATAAGAGCTTGAATGCATCTTTTGCTGATGTGCAAAAATCTGTCCCATTAATGGCAGTTGTAGTGTATGCATTCTGAAAAAAGAAAGACTATGGTTAAAAAGAGGATTGTTCTTGTTGTTTTAAAGACAGTATCAATACAGAATATTTGCAAATTAGTGAAAGATAGTTACTGTAAAACAACCAATTCTACCCCCAATAAGTCATTTCATTTTCAAAGTCCCTCCCAGTCTCTGAAATATATCTAGTTGTAGTAAATGGAAAAGAGAAATAAGTACTGCTGGTTAATGTGATGGATAATAATGGGATAATAATGGGATAGTAATGGAATAATAATCCCAGTATAAACATGGGAATGATGGGTGAAGCATATGCTAATTTTTAAAGCACAGCAGTGTCTGAGGGCAAGAAGAGAAGTCTAAGTGCTTGAAACAAAGCAAACTAATGATTGATGAGAGCTGAACTCAAAGATTGGCGGCCTTGGACTTAGTAATGGCTTTAAGGGGTTGGGGCTGGGGATTTCACCCCTTAGGGTTAAGAGATAAGGCTCAGGTCCTTGCCAGGGAACTGAGCTCTCTGCCCAGATTTGAGATTTGTATTCAATTCACTCTATCAGCCTTCCTAGGAAGGTGGTAAAGAAAGGCACTGTCCGGCCTGGGACCATACCATCATTAGAGTCTGAGAAGAAGCAAAGTAAAACCATTTTCCCCTCAGGCGAAGGAATGGTGGCATCCAACTAACAACAACCTTTGAAGAAAATGACATTCACAGGGAAAATGCACAGGTGACTGAAGGTAATGAATTGCACAATAAACAAACACCTGTACACGGAGAACAATCTGAAGTAAGGTATTCAAGGAAGTATATTTAAAATGTTAAGGAAATCATGAAAGGAACAGTGGCCATAAGGAATGAACACTTTCTGTGAAAAATGAAGAGGGAGAGTAGACAACAAATCAAAAAAAATTCTAGGAATGAAAATATCAAAATTAAAATTAACTTAAATTTTTAAAATTAAAATTTAAAGAGCACAGTGCCAGTATTATGTATTGATTTTCCTTTCTATAGCAAACATTTTCACGATTTTTATCATTTTAATTTTTAACAAATACATGAAGTTTCTGGGTCATTTTTCAAAAAATATCTTCCTCTTATGACTGGCTGTAAGGGCAGGAACAGAGCACCGAGCAGGTTTTCTAGGATCCAGCAGACCGGGTAAAGGAAGAGTCAGAGTCCTCAGTGGTTTTTTGCAGGTCTTTTATTGGGATTACCAGGTAAACGGCAGGCAGGGGTGCTGGGGGAAGGGGAGGCTGGCAGGCCTCCCAGCCCCCAGCAAGTCTTCACTCTATCTGGGCTCTCCAGCGTTCTCTGCATCTCTCTCGGCTTCTGTTCGTTCTCGGCTTCTTGGCTTCTGCTTTGGCTTCTATTGGCGTCCCTGTGATGCTGCCCTTAAAAGCACAGTCTTAGCCCAGGTGAATCCCATCTACCTATGCCCACACCCTACTCCAGGTGTCTGCCATCGGGCATGCATGCAGGACCGCAAGGATCCATCATCTATCCTGATGGCGGGAGGGCAGAAAAGCCTGACATTTTTCCTTACCCTACACTGGCTATGTGATCATTTCAAAATTATCTATTTTTGAGTTTCCCCTTGAAAGTCTTTAAAATGCTACTTGCTCAGCAGTTTCCAACAAAGAATTTGATAACTTTCCTGGGATACACTGAGAAACTACCCGTGTGGGTTTCTTGTCATTCCTTTTGGTTTGATAAAGGATGAATGTTTTTAATCTGTGTATATACAGATTAACCCTTTCATACACCCATTGAAAAATATTATAAGGAAACTAATTTGGAGTCTATTGTAGTAACCCAGGCAATCTTCATCAGAGCAAGTGAAAGAGGAGATGGGAGGACCAAAGAGTACGGGGTTAAGGGAGTAAAATGAACTGACCCACTTTACCAAATTCACTCTTCCCCAAGCCAACTGCAGAGGAACTCAGCCTCACAGGACTAGGTCCACACATTCCCACAGGACACGGAGCTTGCCTTAGAGGCAGCTTCTAGATGCCAGATGAAGTCTCTGCAGAAATGCCTTACTATCATGCCACAAAAAGTTTGGTTTCTGACTTAGAATGCATGTGAAATTTGCTTTTAAAATCCCAAACCAGCTATTTTTTTTAAAGATTTATTTATTTATGCATACAAGAACTGGGGTGTAAGCCAGAGGTACAGGGGGTGAGAGGATTCACCAGAGACAGAATGGGGAGCAGAACAGGCAGACTGACTGAAATACACTGCTGAGGGAAGCAGCGGGTGAGACAAGGAGAAGTCTGCTGCTCCATGTGGGTCAGCTCCCTGGTAGGGGATAGAACTTATGCTGCAGTGGCTGCGGATAGCTTCATAGCGTTGTCTTTAATCCCTGCACTACCAGGGAAGCCCCCCAAACCAGCTATTGGCGGAAAGCCTCAGTTAGGGGACTTTGGTATTGAGCAGGGATGTAAAAACTCATTCACTCATTATTTAAGCATCATCAATCATCAGAGGTTCTCAGAGCCTTAATGACGGATTTGTTAAACCTGATGTGCCTTTGTAGGGTGGGTGGGCGAAGAATGGCATAATTATTCTTTTATAGACTACAAACCAAGATCTAGAGCATTCCCCCAGATCCCCTGCTAAATTAAAGCGCTTCTTAATTTTTTCCCCTTCAACTTGCTGGACATTACACTAGCAATTTTCATTAGAACAAAATGCTATTTAAAGATTGGTGGTTAGGGTAAGCACAAGTTCTGCAGCCAGACAATCTCTGGGTTCAAATCCCTGTTCTACCACCAACTGGTTGTTGGTCTTGGACAAATGATTTACCCTTACTCAGACCTCAATCTCCTGTCTATAAAGTGAGTTACTGCACTAACTGCAAAGGGCTGTTGGGAGGATTAAAAGGACATATTCCCTATAAAGCATTTATAGGGCCCAGCACACAGAAAGCAGGTAATAAAGGGTGGTTATTCATCCAGACCTCATCAAAGATGATCTCATTTACAACTGGGAGAGGCAGCTCTTGAAGCACCATGGAGGTGCAGAGGGGCCCTCTGGTTCCAGGGGCTTTCATCTCTCACAATCGCAGGGACCTGGCAAGGGCCGGCCTTTCCAGTTGGACCCCATGGGGTTTTGCTGTCCAGAACTGCCCACACATGCTGCCCTGCTCTGTTCCCAGCCCCTCACCCCATCATTTCCCCCCCTCTAAAGCCCTCCTCTTGTGTACTTTCTCTCTCATACTGGAACTACAGTTTTTGTAGGGACATCCCCCCCTTACAGACTGCAGCTTTTTAGTCAACTCAGCACCATGACTTATAAGCAATAAAAATAGATTTTGCTCCTAGACTGAAATGATTAAAGGTTAAAATGGTACTTTCTCATGCATATGTTGATGCCACAGATTTTTTTGGGATCCATAACCATTGATCTTTTCTTTAATGTATCAGGCCTCTTGAAGGAAGGCATTTAAACCACTCTGACAGGGAAATTATACATGCCTTCCTGCAGTTACTGTACCACCAGCACTTTACCACAAGGTTCAACCCCAAATGCAACCCAGAGACCTAGAATTAATGTCTGAATAAATAGCTGGAGGAGGGAAGAATCACTCAAGATGCAGGAAATGGAGTGAAAATTTCTGCAGTTTCAGCATAAGCTAATTTATACTTATTCTGAGTAGAAGCTGCTTCCCTTTCAGGCATTTGGAAGTGGGACTGCAGAGAATGTTCGAAGCTGTGAGTCCTTGCTCTGAGCATTTGGATTTGAGTGGACTGACAGAATGATAGTGAGCAGCAGGCCCCACGATGTGGGGCAAAGACTGGAGAACATAAAGATTAGTAGCACAGTCAGCTGTGAAAATTAATCAGGGGAACCTGAAGGCTATTTTTTTAAAAAAAAATTATTTATTTATGCATACAAGAACTGGAGTACAGGACAGAGGTGTGTGTGTGGGGAGGGGAGGGGGCAGGGGTGAGAGGATTCACCAGAGACAGAGTGGGGAACAGAACAGGCAGATCTACTGAAATACACTGTTGAGGGGAGCAGTGGGTGAGGCAGGAGAGGTCTGCTGGGCCATGTAGGTAGCTCCCTGGCCAGCTGGGGGATCGAACTTGTGCTGCAGAGGCTGCGGATAGCGTCACAGTGCTGTGCTTAACTCCTCGCGCCACTAGGGAGGCCCCTGAAGGCTAATCTTTAAGTAAGGAAAGGAGGGAGCACTATGAGGATCTTCATTTAATATCAGACAGAAAGCATTGTGCATGTTTCTTTAGCTCCACCAAACAGTGGCTCTCTGACTCATTCAGACTTTTCTGCAGGAAAACATTTACTTTGAGCTACACTTTATGCTTTTCTTTCCAAAAGGTTCACGATATAAAGCTGTGTCATTAAAAAGAACTGAGGAAGTGGCAGAAGGGTTTAGTGGAAGGAGGCTGGCTTCTAATCACACTGTGTGGCCTCAACTAAATAATGTAACTGCTCAGGTGCCCCCTTCCACAGCTTGGGGAAGGTGCCTGCCAGCTCTGAAGTCCCATGCTAAAGGGGCTGGACCAGGCATCCTGCTATTAGCATCTTATCTGATCTCATCTGTTTCTCACCACAACATGGAGAAATAATCACCATGGGTGTTACTATCCCCACTTTATTTACAGAACCTTGTGATTATTGATGAAATACAAAAGAGCTCTAGATTCACTTTTAGGTAACAGAAGTTGGATCACCTCTTGAATTGACTTTTAGAGTTATCCAAGAATGCTAGCCTCAACTTTGACACAGAAAGAACCGTTTCGCTCCTTAAGTCATCTCTGAAGCCAGCACAGTTCTGTCCTGTGTCTGTCAGCTAAGGCACCCATTTGTCCTGCCATTAAACTAAAGTGGTTCCTTCTTTCGGTGGCGGAACTGTGAACCGAGGTCCTGTTGACTCTTCAAAAAGGTAAACAAAGTTTCTCCTGCCATATTGCAGGAAAGGCCTTCGCCCAAAACCATGCCATGAATAACCACCTTTATTTCTGGGATGTCTTCTGATATTTATTAATGAAAAATAA